AAGAAAGGGACGAGCCTTTACTTTTGGGATACACTGTAGGTTTTGGTACTGTTTTTATTGCCCACACTCAGTGATGCGCTGAAGGGACCCTGTGTTTAGGTATCTACAGCTTTATGGCCTGCTTCTCTGAAGTCAAAGGCCCCCAAAGGTATAGCTATTGTTCTACGGTACATATTGACTCGAAACCGTGTACACGACTGACATCCATCCTGGTCAGGCATTTGATGGAGGAGCATGTGTGCAATTGCGGACATTGCTGATAAGTGGAAGGAACGCCAAGGAAAAGGCAAAGAATTAATTTCGGAATTTTAGGGAAATCTACTATACGCCCTTCTTCCTACGCTTCCATCAAATGCCAAATGGGTCATGCTGATCGCTCGTTTCTTCACAGGCTTTGGAGCGGGTAGGTTATCAACATGGAAAATTTTTGCTTGTCAGGTCGAACTGTGCAAGACTTCTTTTCCTACCCATGTGCTTTCCTCCTCATGCTTTTTTCCTTAACCTGCTTGCCTTACTAATGAAAATCAGAGTTGTTCTTATGAATGTTGGACGCTGCATCTGGCAGAAGCGTGTCTTGTCAGTGCACCAGTATCATTAAGAGAAAACGCAGGATCCCATCTCCCACTGTGTTCCTGGGCGCAACTGTTTATCCTGATCATAGTATATGTGTATGTTCAGAACAATTTATTTTTGCCATTGAGAATCTCGCGGAGATGAATGCAGTCCTTTCAAGAGCCTTCACACCTTAGAATAGGCCTGCGTTATCCCTTCTTTCCGCCTCTTTAGAGCTCGAAATGGTCAAACAACAAATATTATATATTAGGTTGTTTGGGAAGATATATGGGTTCCAAGCGCTTCATGTTGAGAAATTTTGATATAGAAACTTGTCTCGAAATCTGCACTGCTCAATATCATTGGTAAACCTGTTACATACTCTTTCCTTCGGTGTCTTTGAACTTCTAAATGACTTGTTCTCTTGAGTTTTCATCGGTTTGAATTGAAGGTGGCAAGACAGTAGTTCGGGTAAATTTACGTCTATGTGTTGGAACTTTGACGAAGGTGCAACGCAGACTTGTCTGGAATGGGACTGTAGTGCGGCTTTGAAGAAGCACCAATAGATGCGCAGCTCAACATTGGCTGGAAATATTTTGCTCCTGAGGTATTCTGTTATGAACTTGAGGGAGACTAGCGGCATCATTTTGCACATGGCGATTATTTTCTTGG